GGCTGCCCGCGGCCGGGCTGGCCTGAGCCCCCTCTGCGGGGAGAGGCGAGGGGCCTGGGCCTAGGATCCGTTGGGAACCGTATCCTCCTCCATTTCTTCCTCAGCGTCCTCCGATGGGCCTGGAAGGACACGTCAGGGGTTAGTGCAAACGTTAGTTCTCTTTCCCAGAGGCGCAATGTTAATTTTCACCCCTCTGAAGAGGGGCAGTAATAACGCGAACTCTTAAAACTCGACCAAAAAAAAGAAGAAAAAAAAATTAATCGACATAGCTGTAATGTACAGACAGGAGGCGTTACTGCCACTCTGCAGTTCAGATTCATCCCCACAGAGACCTACGAGATGACAGTACCTGTACCCCCATCCGAGGCACGAATGCTCACCACAACAGAGTCCAGATATGCTTTGTAATTAATCTCATTTTTTTAAGTAACTGGGATGAACTGTTTGGAGTTCACCAATACAGCGAAGTACTTAGGGCTGGCGTTTGGCACCTCGCTCTTGGGGCAGTCCAGGTCTAACAGCCCTGAACTGCGCTCCAGCGGCCAGGCGGCTAACTGCAGCCTCACAGATGCAATGCCCAATCATTCAGACTATAAAATTAAACTAATTTTAAACAGTTTTGGGGTTTTTTTTTTCAATTCCCTAACTGTTTGGCCCTTCCAGCATAGCTCCCTGCTGAGAACACGTAAAGGATCAGGAAGCAATGAAGAGAGGTGGATTCTGTTTGGGAAACAAAAGTAATAAAAGCTGACCTGATTTTCGTTCTCTGCCAGGAATCTGGCCGGCCTGCAGTAAGCCTTTCAGCCGCTCCACTTCAGCCAGAGTCGTGGCATTTGCGATGGCAGTCTAAAAAACAGACAAAAGAGCATGATGAATCTTCACATGCGGTATTTCAGTCTATTTAGAATAAACATAAACCCAGGAATTTTTTCCAGTTAAGTGAAGCTAAACCTCTAGAGAAAGTTCTAAAAAATTCTAGTTCTAGAAAGTTCTACAAATGACAAAGCACAATCTTGCTTTCTTCCCTTATTAAACAAGCTGCTCTATCCTGGGAGAGCTCTAAGCTCAGACCAAAATTTCACTTAAGTTCTCAAAATCCAGGTATATCATAACAGATGAAAAATTACAGAAAAAGCACCTAAACCAAAGTTAGGACCCACTGTTCTATTTGTCTGAACAGAGTCAGGGGTTGCCAGGAGGAAGGAAACATTCATTCAGTTTGGGTCCACGACAGTTCTTCTCCACCACTTTTGCCCACATGTGCTGCCCTGACATATTTACCTTAATTGCTTCAACGTCGCCTGGGGAGGGCCCACCTTTCTTTTTGTCAGTTGGCAGACCAGCACCTGGATTGAAGCTTCAAAGGAAAAAATAAAGACCCATTACACCCTTTGAAGAGTATGTGCTTCTCCAGCTTCCAAACTAGGTTTGGAAGCATTTCATTCAATCAAGTGTAGTATCTTATCTTTGTTAACAAACTGATACAGTGAAGAGTTGCCTCCTTCAGAAACACCAGCAACTTGTCCTCGCTGTCCCATTTCCCCCCCCGCCTTTTCATCTGCTCATAAAGAGAGGCAGACCTTAGCTTTATAAATTAAGCAGTTGACAAAAACTATTCGATTTGGATGTTGTTGAACACTCAGGTGGTCTGTCACCATTACAAAAGCAGGGTGGATAAATAAAGAGTAATTGAAATTGGGTTTCCTGTTCTTATATGTCCAATATTATATTGTAACAGCCTATATTTAGAGCTTACACTAGACTGGATGTAATCCTAGCACTCAAAAGGGGAAAGGTTATCTGCTGCTGCTTTAAGAAAAAAAAAAAAAAAAAAAAGAAGAAAAATCTGTCATCTGTGAAAATGGATGTAATCAGCTGGAAAGAATTTCCTGAAGTGCTGACACAGCACCAGAGTGCTGCAACCTCTTTTACGGCTATAGAAAGATTTTCTTTATATCTGTTTATTGAGCTATTTAGTTCAATCACCTACTTGTTCTATCACAGACCTGAACCCCCTGAACCTAACTCATAACCTACAGCTAAAGTCCATCTATTATAATTTTAAATGCTAAATACATTCAAGATATTTTTTTAATTGAACTATCAATTTGGAAATGCTGTTGCCATAGACAATCTGAATTCTGATTTCCGAACAGGTTGATGAAGGATTAAACAAAACACATGATGTACCACTTAAGAGTTAAACTAAATAAGCATATATTTTTAATAGCTTAACTAAAGATTTTCATCTGCATTTATCCTCCCAATTACAGCAGATTTTACAGTTTATATTCCCTGGGAAAACAAAAAATTTTAGTTACCAATTATCTAAGAAAAAAAACCCCAAAATAAACAATGTCCACCTCTCTGCAGTTAACTAACAAAACCAAAAAAATAAAATTGAGGTTTCCTGCTTGTTAACTTAAATCAACCCACCTGACCAAATATCTCTTTGAAAAATATTTCTGAGATGTATTCACCACCATCCAAAAATCGGGATGCTTGGACAAGGCACTTATGGCTACCAAAGCTTTTAAGGCATCCTGCCAGTAGCTGGTATTTCAGTTTACTGCCTAATAGCGCACACAAAGTGGTGTTTCTGAAGGAGAATGCCAGTGTAAATTTGGTTTTTTTTATCTTACGTTTTTGTTCTCCTGGCAATATCCTTTGCAAGCTGTGCACCCCGTTTGCCCTTGAACATTTTCTCTGCCTCCTGTCGCTCCTACAGCGATACCACACACACAAAGTTAATTTAAGAACATTGCATTTTGCAAAGCTTCTGTCCTCGCAAAGAAAGATGCTTTGGCTCATCTTCATCACTGAACATTGGTACGTGGAGACCAGACGTTAAGAACAAGCATATAAACATTGCCCAAATGCTCAGACTCAAGGTCTATCAACCTAATGCTCTTAAAAGTAAGAACTCTCCCCCACACTCATCTCCACTGAAAGCAGAGGGCTCTGTTGTGATTGCTTGTTTCTTTCTCTAGAAGTCTGTCTTTCTACCAACACCAGAGGGCCAGAAAAGAATCAGACTAAATAAGCAAAGGTAGTAAAACTCAATTATACATAATTAAACAGGCATTATCCTTAGCAGAATGAAACCATGAAAGACAACAAAGAGCATGTTTTAGAGCCACTTATGATACACAGTTTCAATAAAATTTACAACTATGGCAAAAAGCTCACTGTTACCACTGAATTTTCAAGAATGTAACAAGAAAAAAGGCAGTTCGTCTTGTGCTGAATCAGAAGAAAGTAGACTTACTTTGAGTTTCACTTTTTGAAAATCCAGCACTCTGACCTGGGGAACTTTGTGGATTACATATAATCTGTAATGCTTCTTATTTGTTACAGGGTTCCTTAAAACGCTAGAAAGTAAATTGAGGTTATAGAGAGATTCTTAATATAAAATATTTTAAAATGCACATATTGAAATATGTTAATATACTTAAAATGCATTCATGTACCTTCTGCTATAACAAACAACTAACACCATTAAATAAGCTCAGTGACAGCGATCTCTGATATTATGAAAGCTATTGTAAAAACCTGTACTTTATCATTAAATAGATTTTATTGAAGAACATGAAGAACAACCTCAAAATATTAAAAAAAACCCCACCAAATAACGAAACCATCACAGTGCTTACCTGGACACTGATCAACCGAAAAATGACGGGACAAATTGCTTTTCCTTTTTTGTCCCTCGCACCAAATGTAATGTTATTGAAAAGTCATTGTTTAAATGTATTTTAAAGTATTTTGTAACAATAGTTTAAACCTTTAGTTTTTAGGTTTTCAGAGGTTAAGGTTACTTCAATGCTTGCATATTGGCTTATAGAGATGTTACATCTCATCGGTCCAACAGTCTGTCAGTAATATAAAGCCTCAGCCATTAAATACCAGGTATTTCTGAAGCAAAGTGGAAATGTTGTTTATCGATTCAATTTTTAAGCACAAAGTATCTGTCACAGCTCTTAAAAAGGAGAGCATTCCACATCAAAGCAAAGAGCCAGGCCAGCAGCAGAGTTCGAACAGCAAAGAAAGAGTAGCTTTTCTTTTCAAGATTACATACCTCAGGTAAGTCAGTGATTTAATAGTTGATAAGGGATCCAGTTCACCCTACATAATGGGAATACAGTAAGCATTTGTAAGTCCATTTAGTGAGAATCAAACATTTGAAAACAAAGTTCCTGAACTCATATCTATTTTAGAGACCAATTAGAATTACTGCAATTAGTTTAACAGGAAAACCACTAAGACTTTGTGACTGCTGTTCCATCGCAAGCTGCAAATTATGTTCATGAAAATATCTACACCATTAACTACCAGAAAAACCATATGATTTTACTGCAAAGAAATAAAAAAAAGGCTAATTAGCAAGATGAGTAGTACCAACTATTGCCAAAAGCATATGACACTACTCTCAGGAAAAAGGTTAATTAGAAAGATGACAAACACAAATTTAAGCTTGTTTAGATTTATCTTGCATTGATGGCTTACCAATTCAGCGATGTTGTTGTTGGTAAGAATGAGCTCTGTCAGGCTGGGCAGAGCCTGTTCAAGGCTTTCACCAATCCGACTAAAGAAGAACAAAACCAAAAGGTTTAACTTAGGCCAGAAATCAGCAATGGTGAAAAGACAGACAGAAATATGATAACATAGAGGATCTCCCTGTAAAACAACAGTCTGGCACTGGCAGAAGTTTGGGTTAGCATCCCCTACAATACTTTTTCTAATGAAGCCGGCAATAAATACCAGCCATCACTTACAAGAGCATTAGATACAATATGAGATTTATGTTCATTCAGTTGCAGGTATCCTCATTTTCTTGTCTTTATGGGGATGGTTACTGAAATACAAAGTTCCGGTCAGATTCCAAACTCTGCATCTCATTGTCCTGTCTGAAAAATTACGACTAATCTGGGACAAACTTTTGCAGTGAAAAGTCTGGCAACTGCCTAAGCAGTACTCAGTACTGATTATTTTTTTTTCCACCCCATAAAACAAATACTTCTACACCTACTCAGCACTGAAAGATGCACGCACATGTCTCTCCCAAGAGCATTTTCCTCTGTCCCAAGGTCCCATCTGGCTAAAATGCAAACTGCTTACCATATCCTATTGTTATTCATCAGAAGAGTTTTGAGCCTTCTCAACAGAGGGAACCCATCCAGTTTACGGATCTCATTGTCAGAGAAATCAATTGCATCAAACTGGTCCAGGGTGGCACCCAAGTTTTCAATAACAGGGATTTTATAGCCTGGGGAGAAAGTGCAAGACAGGAATCAGACGGTGCCACAAGACAGCAGAACAAAGCAAGAGGCAGTGCGTAGGGGGCCTATCTGGATGGACTGAGGATGCAGATAGTCTCAGTCAAAACACCTTTGGAACAACTCTCCTCCCCATCACACACAGACCAAACTCTCCCCCTCAAAGCCAATCACCCCTGCAGCCTTCTCAAAGCATCTCTCTTCCTCCCCCTCAGCCATCACCCCAACCCCCTCCTTCTACGTGTCCCCTCAGCCCAAACCCACCTTTCTGGCATATCCCTCGTGTCTCTCACCCCCACCACCGCAGGTTCCTTCCACATTTCACCTCAAATTCCCATTCCATTCCACCCCCTCACACCACCCACC